CCACTGCCCCGACTCATCGGCGGGTTTCCTGCCCTGGGGGAGTCGTAGGGCTCGGTGCCCCCCCAGCGCCCCAGGACAGCACAGGGCAGGTATCCCGGCACACAGCCCCGCGCTGGCATGCGGGGTCAGCGCCCCAAAAACAGCCGGTGGATCTCCCCTGCCCGTTGTAGGGCAAAACCCATTGGGATCCCCTGGGGAAAGGGTGAAGTTGGGCTTGGAAAGAAACCGCTGGCTACACCGTGGTGGCTCTTTCGAGTAAGTTCGCTCACCATCTACACTGAGCGCTGGCTGTAGTGGGAGATTGGGCGCTCAGCTCACAGCGACGCGTTCGGAGGCCATTCCGTGCCTGCACGTGTGCAGCTGGTGCCGCGTGAGGTACCCAAGGATGCCCGAAATGTCCACACAAATCTGCCACACGTCACACAAGACCTATTGGATGTCTTCACCCTTGGTATTTTCAACCTCACCGAGCAGCAGCTGGAGGCAAGGAAGGATCCTCAATGCACCTAAAATGTCTCTGCGCGCTTATGTGTGGGCAACTGAATTAAGCCCCTTTTGTTACGTATGGGATTATTATTAATTGAGACATGAGAAGTGTGACTGCGTAGTACCAAGTGAAGAAAGGAGTGCCGGAGTCACTGCACACTCAGTGTGGGTTTCAACAGCGTATCTACACAGCACAAAAAAAACCACCCAACCCAGCTGCCGTCATGCAGCTCTTCTGGCACGACGGGGGAGCTCCTGGCTGAAGTTACGTTATCAGCTTGGTCCTCCGTGTTTGGAGAATAAATGTATAGAACTAAGTTTGCCCAGCTACAAAGCGATTTCGAGCACTGGGTGAACGCCAGCGTGTTGTGTTAGGAAGTGACGTGAACTGGGATTGGCGTTACATAATTTTAGCCGTATAAACCGAGGCACGTAAATTGTACTGGCCATCACGGCTTCATCTCTGAGCGGTGGAGAAAGACAGAGGGTTCCAGTTATTCCAGATAAGTTCCTCTCTCCGTCATTGATTAGAAAGAGAATCAAACATTTGGCCGACGCAGCAGAGGCATCAATATTTCAGTGAACTGCGTTCCTGGAACCGAATGCCTCAGTAGCACTGAAAGCCTCGCTGAAAGCAAAGTGTCACGCTCTGCTCTGCCCTGATCAAACCTCGTCATCTTACCACAGAAAGCAATCACATTTTTCAGGCACTGAGACTCCACACTGACTGTTCCCCATCTCCTCCTCCACCTGCCATGCCTTCTAAAAGTACTCATTCCGTGGTTTTTCCTGGGGACCAAAGCGAAGCTGGCTGGTCTGGAGCTGCCCGGGTCATCCTGAGCCTTTTTTGACTGTGGTTCAAAACTTGCTTTCCTCCAGTCATGGAATGGTTTGGGTTGGAAGGGACCTTGAAGATCCCCCAGTCCCACCCCCTGCCCTGGGCAGGGACACCTCCCACCAGCCCAGGTTGCTCCAAGCCCCGTCCAACCTGGCCTTGAACACCTCCAGGGATGGGGCAGCCACAGCTTCTCGGGGCAACCTGCCCCAGGGGCTCACCACCCGCACTGGAGAGAATTTCTTCCTCCTATCTCATCTAAATCTCCCCTCTTTCTGTTTAAAACCATTCCCCCTCATCCTACAGCTCCCCACCTTGACCAAGAGTCCCTCCCCAGCTCTCCTGTCATGAAGATTCTCCCCCAGTCACCCCAACTTTCCAAAGCTGATAGAGATCAGCTCTGCACGAGCACCAGCCAGCTCTCCCAGTGCCCCAGGCTGCGGCCTCTCCGGACCCAGGGACTTGCACAGTGGAGATCCAACAAGACGAATGCTGTATGAAGCCTCATGGGTTCCACCATACATCGGCACAGACAGAGGGGCGGAGGAGATGGCTCCATACCCTCAGTGTCTCCTTCTCCAGTAAACAAGCTTGCCTGGCACTGGCCGTGAGCTGGTACGCACAGGGATACCCTGGGGGTGGGAGGAACTGGGAGCTGACCTGGAGCAGCCCCAGCTCGCCAAGCATGAAGAACGGCACGCCTGGGGTTTATGAGGACCTGGGAGGCTTCTTGGCTGAGTTCTTGCAACCAGCAGCTCCTGCTCAAGGTACATCAGGTGAGACAGAGGAAGGGCTAGCGCGTACAACTGCCTGAGGATCTTCCAGTCCTTGTTTCCCAAGACACCAACCTTTTCCTGAGCGCTTACCTCCTGCTCAGCCTCCAGTTCACCCTAGCCTGGGACCAGCAAGTGGCTCTTTTCCCAACCCTCACCCCTCTGAGGTCCTGCCGGCTCTCCAAAGGGCTGGACAGAAAGCCATGGCCCAGAGCATATGGTCCATCACCCATTTGGGAGGACAACTTCCTCCACATGTCCTCAAGGTGGTGTAATGGAAGGCTTTTTGCAAGAAGATGGGTGGAAAGAAATATAACTCTTGACTAAATATATGATATATATATATGCACATCTATCACTGATCAGAGTGATATTTTTTTAGCTAGTAGGGATCACCAAAGTCCTGTAGATGCGCTCCTGCATGTACATATGGTGTACGTATGTGTGCAAGGCGGAGGACATTTAAGGCAACAATATTATACAAACCCAGAAGACTTTTGATTTCATCGTCAAGGTAGGACATCACCCACATTTAGTGCGAGAGGGAAATAAGACTCCAAGAACCAGAGAAGTGTAACGGAGGCCCGGAGTCCCCAGGACAAGAGCCACGCTGTATTTGTTGAGGCACACTCAGTGCACAGGTCCCACGCGGTCAGTGCTGCGACGTCTTTCAGCGGGCGGGCGGTATTCCTGCACGCTGCATGCTGTCTTCTTCAGCGGGACAGGCGAGGTGGGGTGGTGAATGCTCCTGCCGGAACTGTGCCAGGACATGTGCCGTGTTCTGTAGTGTCTTTTTTTTGTGGGGTTGTGACACTCAGCCCCCTCTCTGGTTGAGGGAGAGGTACCCATTCCCTCTACTGGAGGGTTATCTGTTCCAAAACACCCAGGTGATCCTGGGGCCGCGTCCTTGAGATAGTCTGTGGCCTACAACGGCCACCCATGCTCCACAACCTAGGGACATGGGGGATCAGGGGTGGCTCTAGGGGTGCCAGCACTGTGGGGATGTCCGTGGGACTCTGGGAGTATTATGGATTCCATGTAGTCCTGCGGGAACCCACACTAGAGGAGGAGGAGAGGTGTCAGGCTTTCCTTGGGGGGAATCTGGGAGCCCCTGGGGGGTATCGGGCTCCCCCACGGGTGTGAGGTGTCCTCAGGAGATGTCACAGTCCCCAGTTGCTCACAAGCACCACAGAACTCTGCATGGGGGACCTTGGAGATGTGGAGCGCCCCAAGCAGCCTCCCATGAGTGGGGTTGGGGGCGTCCCTAGCAGTCACTCACCGGCGGAGCAGTGGGCTCGGTGTTATCCTTGTGGCACGGCGTGTGCAGGCGGGGGCCAGGGGAAGCCCCCCTGTCGCAGTCGGCCAGGCTGAGCAGCAGCAAGTTGGTGCAGGCGAAGGTTCTCTTCAGGGTGCCGCAGTTTGGGGGAGGAGCACTCCTGGGGAACTCCGTGCTGGAGGAACCCACACACCGTGGGGCAGAGGTGGTGACAGGGACCTCCAGGGCCATGGGGCGGTGACCCCCACGACCATGGGAAGGAAACACAGGTCTCAGCCCCCCTGTGGCCCCCACAACTCCTCCACTAGTCCCACTGCCCCCCTCTTGCCACTGATAACCTTCAACAGCCCCCATCAACACCCGCTCCCCCCTTGACTCTCTACCTTCCCCAGTGCCCAACAGCCCCCACTGACTCTCCAGCCCCACCAGGGACCCTCGAGCTTCCCCATTGCCCCCCTCCAGAGCCTCCCAGTGATGACCCAGAAGATCCTACTGCCCTCTCACAGCCCACAACTGCCCCTCCACTTTATTCCCCACTTGCTGTCCCACCCTGAGCTGCCTTTTACCCGAGGACAGAGATGGCCGCGGGCCTGGCAAGGGCCTGGGGGGCACCCGGGCCCAGCAGGCACCTGGGGGCTGCGGGCTGAACGTGGGTGCCCAGCGTGGGGTCCACGGCCTCCCTGATCTCCTTCACCTGCAGGGGAGTTTTCACCCCCCTGCTGGCCATGGCCCTGCTGGTGCCAGTCCCTCCCAGCAGGGTTACGAGGGGTCTGGCTGCACCCAGGGACAGCGGAAGGGCTCCTGCTGTCACCCTGACATCACAAACACTGGCTATACTGGTCACACATGGTTCCATGAGAGGCTTCCCTCCCAGCCTCTCCCCTCACGTGCCTCAGGTTACCCTTCGGATTGCTGATTTAACCATGTCCATCCCCAAAGTAGCCACCAAAATACTTAGAATCATAGAATATCTCAAGCTGGAAGGGATCCGTAAGGATCATCGACTCCCAACTCCTGGCTCATCGAGAGGTCAGTCTTCCCCGGGATGAAGTGCCCCGGGTACGTGGGGCAGGAATACTCCAACTCGGAAAGGGCTGAAGCCAGGGAAGGAAGCGCTAAAGGGTAAAGAATAAGGAATTTTTGGCAGCAGCACCACTTCTGCTACCCTCTCTCGGCAGAGAAGTGGGATGACGTAGGTGGAAGCTTAATTTTCACTGTAAGTCTCTGTCAGAACCAGTTGGTAGAAAAGGACCTGCTGGACTGGGAGAGGACAGCTGTGGTGCGTGCGTGTGCAGGAGCTCACCGTGACGTCTGCCCTTTGAGCAGACTATTCCACAACCCCCGGGGATCTATAGAATCGCCACCGTCACTACTGTCCCACACTGTCCTGCTGCCACATCTCGTCAGGCCAGGTAAAAAGTAGAGGAAAGGGAGTGGGAGATCACCAGGACTTAGCAATAACGCTCACTGAAGGCAAAAGCAACTCCCACATGAGTAGCAACTGGAATCATGTGAACGCAGGAGAAAATGACAGAAAAGCTGAGGCGATGCAGAATAAAGACTCTTTTATGATATAAAGCAGCCGCAGTTCTTGCCTTGCTCGCCGAAGGAGGAAATCAGCTTTTAGCCATCAGTGGTGCCCACCGTGTTCTTCTTTCAGGGGTGGAATAATTTCTCCCGTCTCTAAAATTCTGTCCCCCTGATGGAACGAGAGAGGACGGTGAGTGTTTTCCCCTACACCCACACTCTCTCTTCGCACAACGCAGTCCTTCAATTAAGCTATAACTGTCCCCACTTCCAGACAAAGAAAATCTCACTACAACTTACTCCGAACGCTCTCATTCACTCAACATTCCCCAGGATGCTGGAGTAACATCACAGCCACGTTATCTGAAATCTGTACTTGCTTTACCCCTCTCTTCTCCGCTACGGAACAGCAGCCAAATATTTAGAGACCGTATTGTTTTAAAAATGTGTATTGGACTTCGAGCACTGCATAACCACCTTCAACGCTGCACAGCTTTAAGCGAGTCTCCAAACCCACAGCCTGTAGCCCACGAAGAGCTACGTAATCCCTCAAAAATCAATGCGATGCCCAACTGCTGTTTGCTACCGCTTCAGGCACTGTCTTGGCCTACTGAGCTGATCTAACTCGAGTGAGTAATTAGGCCGACATCAGAAGCACATGGCTTGGCCTTTCGTATGTTGCTATGTGGTTGTTAAGGATGCAACTTTGCATGATTTTATTTTAGATAAAGCACAGTCAGGCAGGTGTTATGCAAAAAAAACCCTGCAACTGGCAGAAATAGCAGAGCTAAACTTTGACGAGAATATCTGCCCACCGAGTTGCTACACCAAGCAACGAGTAACGGCTCGGAGCAGTCCGAAAACCAGTAAAGACCAAACGATCTGACACTCTCCTCTTTGTAAACCAAACCTCAAGCTGGGGGTGGCATGACTCTATCTCTGTGGGGATGCGTGGAGGACCTTCAGGGACGCACGGGACCAAGCTTGTGCATCCAGAACCGACATACTCGGTGCTGAGCTCCTCCCGACTCCTGATATCCCACACATTAATAATCACGCTTTCACAGAGGCACTGAACACCCAAACCCCTTCACAAAGTTGTGCAGTAATTAACGCTTGCATTCACCCCGTTCTTAGCGACGCAGCTGGGCTTGCCCTTTTTCGGGGGGGGGGGCAGGAGCGTGCAGCCATGGCTTTCAGCAGCACTTGATGCCCCGAGGGACCCAGCACTTCAGCTTCCCATGAAATTGGGAAGCAGCAAAGTGAGAAGCAAACTGGAGAGCTTCCCTGTGCGCTCTCCGCACACTTCTCCAGAGAGGGAACCTGCTCCAGTCGCTACGGGAGATCCCATGTGGGAACGTTTGCCTTTTCCACCCAGGATGGGCACTGCTGTCAGTCAGGTACTCGAGTGTTGGCCGCTGCAGAGGGAGATACCACTGAAACAGGGACTGTCTGCTCTGAGGATGAGATGAAAACTGCTCAAAAATACTGTAACTGCTGCTCCAGGGCAGCCTGCCCTCAGTGTCAAGCTCATCCTTCTGGAAATTCTCCCTGCATGGCTGCTGCACAAACCTGCACTTCTCCTGAAGTCATCCCTTTTCTGCCTGTTTTACCGAGCTGGAAGATAAAACAAGTATTAATAGACTTACCGGGAATACCCGTGGATTTGACATAACAATACCATGCGGCGCTTTCTGAAAGGGGAGGGGGGGAGAAGAGAGGGAAGGGGTAAAGAAAAAGGAGTGTTACCCAGATGAAGTACAAAGGATTTCCAAAATGGGGAAAACAACTGTTCTAAAACACAAGCTCTGCTGAGTACCAGGCTCACGAGGCCAGGTTCTTTCCACTAGTTAAAGAAATACCGGAGACTAATAAAATTACACCTCCCACGCAAGATAAGACTGTAGCAGTAGAAGGTCTGTCCCATCGCCACACCAACCACTGCAGTCTGGTTAACCCCAGGTTCACCATTCCTTTAGGAAAGCAACTTGGGTTTCCAGCTCACAGCAGGCAGCACGGTCAAAGCCAGCCACTACCATAAAAGGCCACAAAGAAAAATAAAAACATATATACATTTGTGCCACCCGAGCAAGGAAAAACAAGCGGTGCCCAGATGGCGGGAAGTCACCTTAACCAACAGCAAACGTGTAACCAGCGTGTCCTTACAACCGCTGCTTGCGGAATCACCACCCCCCCACACCCGCCCGAGAGGGCTTCTTTAACCCAGGTTTCCACTCAACCCCCCGGAGGGGCCGCACGCACCATGACGTGGTACTTCAGGCAGTAGAGGATGATCCAGGAGGGGACCAGCACCCGCGTCAGCACGAAGCCGCCGGTCTGACAGACCTTGAACGCCTACGGGGCGGGCACAGGGAGGCCGGTCAGGCCTTGAGGGGGGGCCCGGCCGGGGCTGGCCCGGGTGTCCCCTCCTCAGGCCTTGAGGCGGGGGCCCGGCCCGCGTCGCCCCCCCTCAGCTCCCCTCACCTGTTGCCGCCAGAGCCCCCCGGGCTGCAGGAAGCGCTCCCAGAAAGCGGCCACCGGCCCCAGCTGCCGGCGCGGCAGGACGGGCTCCCGCTCGCTCAGCTCCTGGTCCCGCAGCCAACGGCGCCGCAGGACGCGGAGCTGCTGCAGCCGCAGCTTCTCGTCCGGGCTGTAACCGCTCATGGCGCCCGCCGCACCCGGACCCGCTCCGCTCCCGCTGCGGCCTGCGGGCGCCGTGTCCTTCGCCGCCGCCACCACCGCGCGCGGCAGTGACGTCGGCACGGCGCGCAGCGGTGCGTCATCAGCGTGCGCAAGGCTGCGTGGGGGAGGCGGGCAGCGTCCTGGAGTGTCAAGCGGAGGGTGGCGGGTTCGAGCCCCCGCTCAGCCGGGAGGGCGGCGCGGCCCCTTCGCGGCGGCGACCGGCGAGCCAGGCCGGGGCCACTCGGGGGACCATGGCCGAGCCGGGGCTGGCGACCCGCTTCCAGCACCGCTTCCTGGCCGCCCGGCAGCTCCGCTCCTTCCCCTGGCCGGTACGGTGCAGCACGGCGCGGGGCGGGCGGCCACCCTGGGCTCGGAGGAGGCCTCAGCGTTATATTCTCTGTTTTAGGAACTTGAACAAAACCTACGGACTTCGCCGGATTCCCCCCTGCTCCTGGATATTCTCCGCAAGGTGAGGTGCGAGGGCTCGGTGGCACCTCGTGTGCCCAAAGCAATTGCTGAGGTGGTTTTTTGGTTTGTTTGTTTTTGGTTTGTTTTTTTTTTTTTTTGCTCATAACAAGACAGATAAGTGACCCGGTGGCGCAGTTTTTCGTTGGGCGCAGCAGAACAGCGAATTTCCTTCGCTTCCTCTTATTTGTCTGTTCTTTGCATAAAAAAATGAAGCCCCGTGTGCCTCAGCATAGATGGCTTTGGTGCCGCAAAGGGTGTCAGCCCAGCTCCAGCGGGCAAGGAGGCGGCGACGCCTCCATCCCAGTCAATCCCAGTAGCTATGGGATTAATCGCAACTAAGGCGGCAAACCAAAAAGGAGAGAGAGAAGAAAAACACAAATCAGAGCTAACCGGACTTGTATTTTTTTTTTCCCATTCGGTTTTGCTGTTTATTTGCTGAAAAGTGAAAAACGCGTTGGCTGGCGCAGATGTGTAAAGGAGCAAATGGACTGGGAAGCATCAAATTTAATTTTCAGGCTCAGCATCGCTTCTTTTAGCTACAGACTGAATTTATAACGCCTCCGCACCCCTGTGATAAAATCTTCCCTCAGTTCCAATCACTGTTCTCGTTCCAGACCATTCTCCACCCCCTCTGTGTAAAATATCCGCCTCCCACCAAGTACAGAAGATGCTTTTTAACTGAACTCATCAAAAAGGTAGCACTTACTTTTCATCTTGCTTGCAAATCCTTTTTTTAATTTATTTTTTCCTTCTTGAAAATACGCCAGTTTTACATCACAGGCCAAGCGGACTTATCTGTATGAACAAAAAAGAGCATTGGGTGTAAAACGTTATGGCCACCAATGTATTAAAATGGGACGTAACGTGTGTATGTTTCTGGTTTCGTGGCGATTTGGTACCCAAAATTGCCCTGTTTGCTCTTGCGCAGCACGAATCCACAGGAGCTGAACCCCTGGACGAGCTGTACGACGCGCTGGCAGATATTTTAAACGAAGAAGAATCTACTTGCTGTTACAAAAACTACTTACTGGTAAGAATGTACGCTGCATCGTTAGAATTCACTTTTAATCAGCTGAATGAAGCAATAATTGGCTTTAAAAGCAACCCCCTGGCAAACCGAAGCGCTTCCTGCCTTTTTCCAGCAGCGAAGTTGGTTGTAAACCGTAGAACCCGCTGGCTGCGCTGATCCGGCTCTCCCTCTCTCCCACCACACGTGTCTCCCCTCAGCCCGCGGGAGAACCCGTCACCCTTTCCGAGAGCCCGGCGATTATCACAGGAGGAACCACGGGGCTCGTCACCTGGGACGCTGCGCTGCAGCTCGCCGAGTGGGCAACGCAGAACTCCGCCGTGTTCCGTGACAGGTAACGACCGCAGCATGCGCGGGGAGGTGGGGAAAGATAGTTCTCACAGTGTGAACAAGCTACACGATTTTCATTTAATAATATACAATATTTACACTCCCTCCAAACAATCAGAATGACTACACCCTTCTGCTACTGGCTAACTGCTGCTCTCGACTGTTCTAAACTTTAATCCAGCTGCCCTGTAGTTATTTTAAGGCAGGTTTTAAGATCAGATCCGTGACCCCGGCTGTTAAATTTCAGCTGCCGCGCCGTCTAGCCAGTAACTTTAACTGGTGGGCTTGGCTCCATGATGGGACTTGTCTCGCCCGACTGTAGGTGATGGCTGTGCGAGTGTGTGCGTCTCATCACATCCACTCCCCTTTGTTTATAAGGGGTCGAGAGGAACAAACACTTCTGAGGAAAGATTTGGCCAATTTAATTTTAAGTACTGACCTCATGGGGAAAGGAACTGTGCTGCCAAAGTGTCCGTTTCTCTCCACCCAGTACGAAAAGAACTGGAGAACCAGTTTAGGTGGAGACAACCATGCTGCAGAGGTCTAAAGCCAGGTGGGGACGTGTATCATCCCTGCAGTGGAAATGCTTTGTACCGTAGGCAAAAGCAGTAGTTAGAAATAGTTCATTTTTATGCTTACAATTACATCTTCAGTTTTTACCACCTCTCCCAGTTATTTGAAACAGAGATGAGATTGTAAATGGTTTACTCAAAAATTACGAAAATCAGCTGTAACTAATTTTTACCTTTAGATATCCTTAGAACGTTTTGATTTCCTAACTCAATTTAGAGTCCTAGCAAGTCCTTCTGTACCCTCCAGGACAGTCTTGGAGCTAGGAAGTGGCATCGGCTTCACTGGAATCGCGATCTGTAAGACCTGCAGCCCCAAGGCGTATATATTTAGCGACTGCCACCCCTGCGTTCTCCAACAGCTGACGGAAAACATCCGCTTGAATGGCTTTGCCGTGGAGCCCAAAACTGCTCATCGCCTCCAAACGGAGCCCCCAGGCCGGGAGGCAGATGCGCCCAATTACCAAAACCCCAAACTAATTGTTGCAGAGCTTGACTGGGGCTCAGTTACAGAAAAACAACTCTCGGATCTTCGACCTGACGTCATCATTGCAGCAGGTAGTTTTCCGATCGCGCCTGGCTGCGTGCCGTCCGGCAGGGATAAGCAGGTTAGGGAGACAAGCGCACAGGTATTCAGGTGCAGGACTTGCTCAGCCCCGCTCCAGTTACCGTATCTGGATGCGTACAACAGATCTTCTCCCCAGTCATTTCACCATTCTGTCTTTTTCAGACGTTCAGCAGTTGTGTACATCACGCCAAAAAGCCAATTATTTTTCCCTTCTGCGTTTTTTTTAAAATCCAGAAACAGAAAATGATAAATCTGTCACTCTCAAGAGCCTCATCAATAGTAACAACAGGCAGTCTTGGCATTCTCTTGAGGGATAACATGTTAAAAAAATAAACCAACCGCAAACAACAATCCTTTTTTGGAACTTGCCTATGTATAAATCTGGAGGCAGCTTATAAAAAAAATCTATTAACGGAAAATCTAGCAGTAATAACATTTCTTAGCAGTAGCTGCAGGATTTTACTCCCCGATTTATGGCTTTGCAAAGCAAAAATTACCTAAGAATTCAGGGGGAAAAAACCTGACAAGATATCTTGCCTTTGTCATCAAAGGTATCTCATGATGCATTAAATAAGTGAATTCTGTAAAATGGAGTCACTGTTCGTACAATGCCAACTGTATACCGGTCAGAGACCAGCCCAAGCTGGAGTCGGGAAGGAAAAGCAATTCAAAACCGAAGTTATTTATAAATATATGCGCTATTTGCTGGTACGAGTAACGCCGCATCCAGAGTAACCACGTCAAGCGGTATGTGCACACACCTCGACATTCCTGTGTCGTAAACCACCACCTCTTGAGTATCACCTGCACGCAGCACTGACGCATTTCGTAACCCCCGTGCTAATTAGCAAGGCTGACGTTTGGTACCCCGCCATGGCCAGTTTTGCCTCGCATTGCTATTTCTGCTCTCAAGGAAATTATTCAGGGTGAAAACTGCTGCAGTTAATCAAGTCTTTTGCAATCAGCCCCTAAAATAGAAACTTTGAGCAACGCAGTTTCGTTCTGCTAAGGACAGTTGTGACAGGGAGTACCAACGCTCGATGTTTTTGCTGTCTCCCTGAGGATGGGCTTAAAGACAATATCTGACAATCCGTTTACAGAAAGGCACCCCGATTTTTACTGATTTTAGACTGATAACAGAGATGAGGGCAGCTTCACATAGCACGTAAAATAGGGGCATTTTCTCAGATGTCTTCTTGGGAATTTTTAAGCCCTGAATACAAAAATCATGTTCTCCTGCAAGATGAATAATTTATATTTTTGTTTTGTAGTTTTCATTCTGGTTTTTTGCTCAATTCTCAATAAATATTAAATCTTTTGCTTTCTGTGCAGATGTGGTATACGACCCAGAGATAATTTTAGCCCTTATTGGTATGCTACAAAAACTCTCCGCTTTCAGAGCGGACAGAAAACCTCCCGAGGTCTACATTGCTTCCACCATTCGTAACCCGGACACGTATCACCTGTTCCAGGCAGAACTCGGTAGGTGCCTTTTTTATCAAGCGTTATCAGTAGTTTTGGCCTCTTTCCCCATTATTTAATCCATAGCAAAGATGATCAGGAGCATTTTTTGGTGATGGGGATTGTCCAATAGTGAGATTCTTATCCTAGAGCCGGATTTAAGAGCGGTCTCCCAAAGAGCAGTAACTTTTCCAGATGGATTTGGTCAGGAGATTGTAACTTAGCTTTTTGCCACATCCTGTCTATCAATCACAACTTGAGATGAATTTCACGTGTGGTGGCAACAGGAAACTAAAAAAAGTTAAGCTTAAAGGATGAAAACCACCTGTGCTGCACTGTCACAGCGATAACACTCGATAGGCAGCCTAAAACCTTTATCTTATCTGTTCTTTGAGGGTTAACAAAACCAACTAGAGATTAAATAAAAAAGGGAGGTATTTGGGGTTTTTCTTCATCTACTCTTCAAAAGCCTGTCGTTTGCAGTCTACTAGCTGTGCAGCTGGTCTACAGCAATTAGTTAATTCACAAAATTACGCTGAGTGCACAGCAGAAGCATTACTGTTAATTTTTAAGAATTCATACTCCTAAGTAATTGCCTGGAGCTTGCTTTAACGGCATGCTAAAGATCTCTTCTTACAGAACTTGACATGCAACTTTTGCTCTTCATTTTATTACACAGAAATATGATTCCCAGTGTTTCTCTTCACAGATAAAGCTGGGATCGGATGGCAGAATATTCCAGCCCAGAGCAACAGTATTTTTCTCTATGATGCACAGCCAAACATAACTATTCTACAGCTATTTATATAGACTTGGCAAATATAATTAGAATTTTCAGGCCAACAGGGGCTATCTCGTCCCTGCAAGGAGATTATCTTGAATGCAAGAAACACACACGAGAGGCACTGAGGATGCAACTATATGCACGGACTGTTGTCAAAGTAAGTTACGTTTCTTCCTAAAATTGTCCGTGTGTATGCAAGCGAGCTGCTGCCCCTGAAAAGTAACTGTGAACCTCAAGGAATAGAGGGGGAAAAAAATGCCCCGATTGTACTGCACGTTGATTTTGGAGAAGACAACAGAATTGAACTGTATTTTTTTTTTCCAAGTGTGTTTTGATTTGTAAATAATGGTGGCACATCTGCAGGATCATGAGTATCTCACCCTGACAAGGGAGCAAATCAATGTTTCATAGCAGTAAATATTTTTTAATATTAAAACCAGCTGTAACTGTCTACTATTTTTTTTTTAAATACTTGTCGGTATATACTTGCAGTATGGGTCATCTTAAAAATTACTAACAGCTATAGTGGATCATGTCACAAGCTTACATGATGCTGTAAGAGAAGGTAACACTTCTCTGTAAATCAGGTGCATCTTTACTCTGCAGTGATGACAAAAATCAGAACTTGATTTACATGTCCCTCACGCAAGGACTGTCTCTTTCACAGCTAGCTGTCGGGAAGCCATCCTCCCACACTAGCCAGAAAATAATCGTACTCTGTAGCAATGCTCCGCCTATACTGCAAGGAGAAAGAATTAAGCTCACCTTCTTTGAAAGTTCACATAATCCATTCATCATTTTCCTGTTGGACAGTATTGGTCCTGAAGCAGAAAATCAAATATGCTGCTCCTCCTGACATCCTTTTCTGTATCTTGTTTTAAAAGCTACTTAAAAAAAAGTGAACAAATACTTTAGCCCCCTCCTTCTGAAGTAATAGAGAGAAAATGGGCAATAGGTAACTTGAAACTTGAAGAATCATCTTATTCTTCAAGCTGAAGAATACCATGACTGGTAGGATTTAGTTGGATATAAAGAAGTAACCCCACCCCAGATTTTAGCTACCTCTCCCCAAGAAGGAATAATTCAAAGGTATTATTTATCGAGTAAATGCATGCTAGCAGCCCAAACAGGAGCCTCTCTATCTCCCCTTACACAAAATTCTTCAAGTCACTCAAAAGTTCTGTACAGGTGGCTCATTTTGAAGCAAAAAAAATTCTAGGAAGATGAAACCTCTCTAAAGCTTTCAGCATTACTGTTCATTAAAGAAGTGCCTAATTTACCTCCATGTGCACATCAATGGCTAAAGGGGAACGGCCAAACCCCCGGACAGAATTTTGCTTAAAAACTGTAGGAAAAAAGAAAAATTGGCAATTAAATCTTTATGGATCGTTCTTCAGTCAATAAACTAGTGAAATTGCCAAAGTCCTGCAGTAACTTGGATGCTTACTTTCACTTTCCCAGTGAACCAGTAGAACCAAATCACTGTCAACAATCTTTTTTCACAAGAGAGATCATCTACTGTAACGGTGCAGAAGGGCAGAGGCAAGATTAGCACGCAGCTGTCTGGCTTGACAAAAGCCGCTATTAAACGATTACTCTGTAAGCGAGTTTAAAAACGCTGGTGCAGAACCCATTGCAATCATCTGCCACCACTGAACTAGGAACTCTGCAGAGCAGTGACCACACAATAAAACCAAGCACATTTATTCCTTAAATGATTGACATCTATTTTATAACCAAAAAGGTGATGAAAAAAGCATCTTGTAATGCGTTAGGTGTGCATACGAATACTGGTATTAACAATAAAAAGATGAAGGGTATACCTGAGTGAGCACTCAGAAAGAAAAGGGCCCTTTAATTAAGTTATACATAGTTTAATAATACGTTTTGGCTTTATTTTTTTTCCCTTCTCATCTGTTCAAAACCATAAATTTTATGTTCTTTCTCAAGGTAAACGGGTGTATTCACTTCAGTGCACAAGGACAACACTCACAGAAAGGGTCTGTTTTCCTGTTGGTGTTCAATAAAGCTGTCACATACCAGTGGCTGTGCTGTCACATTCGTGCACGCGCTATAGAAAAGAAAACAGCTTAGAAATGAAACAGTTCTGTCTCACTGAAATCGTACAAGAGGATACCGAGCGCTTGTCTAGGGAAGATTAGCCAAGAGTAGTAACTGGTTGAAAAAATAAAAACCTCACTATATGCCCAGTTCAAATAAAACATTTCAAATAAATGAACATTTCTCCCATTTCCAAGAAAACATACCCAAATCATCTACTAAAGTGCTTACTGTACAACGGGTATATCTGGTAATAGTTTATATAGGTATTCAAATATGTTCACCAAAAAGTGATCTTTAAGCAGCACAGGTAATAGATTTTACTCGTGGAGTAACTAAACCTCCCTCCCACTTTCTAAAGATTCATCCCGAGCGATAAGGAAGGAAAGGCAGTCCACATGGCAAGGCTCCAGCTCTTCAGCACAGGGACCACCTCCTCCCTCAACACTTACGCTGTTGGCACACGATTATCCTCTGCTGCACCTTCCATACTACACTTACTCACGTGAGAAGCTCAAATGTAAAGGTAGAGCTGTGTCCAAACACTTGTTCCAAGATGAAGTAGTTAAAAACTGCAACTATAGATAATAGGAAGTGTTTATTCACTATTTATCAAATCTGTGCAGCTCCAGGAATGCATTTGCCTTCTCGACACCATCGCACCCCCCCAAAAAGTCATTCATTCTGCCCAAGCAAAGGAAGAACAGTCTGGTCCCAACTCTCATCCCAGCGCAGCTGCTTGGATGCACGGAGGTTTTCTCTGAAGTTGTGAAGTTTGCCTTCCAGTGTAGGAAATCCCAGGAAAAGCATCTGTAAGTTAAAAAAAGGAAAAACACAGAAAAAATGTCATCATATTACATTTTAGGCTCATTCTAGCCTCCCCAGCATTAACCCTCAACTACAACATTGCAGTAAGAGAACACTCTTTGGTCTGCCCCTATAAATAGTGAACAATGACAATATATAAAATGTTCTTTCCAGTTTCAGATTCGTATTCAAATGGAAGTGAAACCAGTAACATTCACCAGGCAAAGCGTTACCTTCCGAAAGTGCAAAATACGCACATATGACAGCACCTTTGTAGTTACAGCTGCTGGGAAAGAAAAATCAGTGAAGCCTTTACCTTTAGTTGTTCTGCAAGTTCATTTGAGTCCCTGAAGATCAGACCGTTTTCATTGTGTTTCACAAGTTCATGTAAACTGTGAACAAAAGTCACAGAAGAAAACGTGAGACAAAAAGAAGCAAGTGGGACATACCCATTTAATAAGTTGCATAGTGACATCTGAAGAGACCGTGCTGGGATATCGCTAACATTATGATCCTGGATGTCTAGATCTAAGTTTCATGCCTGACAAAATGGGATAAAGGAGGCAGTTTTAAATGTTTAAAGATTGTTTCTCCCTTCTATGTCAGACTACCTAAATCTACCATTACAATGCCAAAGGGCCCTCACTGTCTTTGTGCCTGTATTGGGTTTGCGTGGCAAGGTTTTGGTAGCCAGGGAGCTACAGGGGTGGCTTCTATGAGAAGTCCGACAGAGCCAAGGCCAGCCAGCTCCAAGACGGACCCGCCGCTGGCCAAGGCCAAGGCCAGCACAGACCGGGTGCCTCTGGGATAACGTATTTAAGAAGAGGGGAAAAAAACCCAACTGCTCAACACCAATTGCAGCTGCAGAGAGGATTGAGAATATGTGAGAGCAACAACTCTGCAGACACCAAGGCTAGTGAAGAAGGAGGGGAGGAGGTGTTCCAGGTGCTGGAGCAGAAGACCGTGGTGAGGCAGGCTGTCCCCCTGCGGTCCATAGAGGTCTACAGTGGAGCAGGTATGCACCTGCAGCCATGGAGGACCCCATGCCGGAGCAGGGGGATGCCCAAAAGAGGCTGTGACCCCGTAGAGATCCTGTGCTGGAGCAGGCTCCTTGCAGGACCTGTGGCCCTGTGGAGAGAGGAGCCCACGCTGGAGCAGGTTTGCTGGCAGGACTTGGGACCCCGCAGGGACCCATGCTGGAACAGTCTGTTCCTGAAGGAACACCTGGTGGAAAGGACCCTCGCTGGAGCAGTTCGTGAAGAACCGTAGCCCGTGGAAAGGACTCACGTTGGAGAAGTTTGTAGAGAACTATCTCCTGTGGGAGGGACCCCACACTGGAGCAGGGGAGGAGTGTGAGGAGTCCTCCCCCTGAGGAGGAAGGAGCAGCAGAAACAATGTGTGATGAACTGACTGCATACCCCATTCCCTGTCCCCCTGCGCCACTCGGGGGGAGGAGGTGGAGAAATTGGGAGTGAAGTTGAACCTGGGAAGAAGGGAGGGGTGGGGGGAAGGCGTTTTAACATTTGGTTTTATTTCTTGTTATCCTACGCTGATTTGATTGGTAATAAATTAAATTAATTTCCCCAAGTTGCGTCTGTTTTGCCCACGACAGTAACTGCTGAATGATCTCTCCCTGTCCTTATCTCGACCCACAAGCTTTTCATTATATTTTCTCTCCCCTGTCCAGCTGAAGAGGGGAGCAACAGAACGGCTTTGGTGGGCACCCGGCATCCACAGTGCCACTCATCTGGACATATATTAAAAATCAGTGCAATAATCTACTTTAAAATCCATCCATAATCTAGTTCACGAGATCTTCACAAAGAATGTATTTTCTCCTTTCTTCTTCTTTATATATTTGAACATATAATTTATTTATAAAAGGTACTGTTTCCCCAAAGGACTGTAAATTCTAAGGCTGATTCTGCATACACTCACCCCTTCACAGAACACAGACATCTCTATGCAGAAGGAAGCTTTGTTTACATGAAGTGTATGGAAACGAAGGATTACAGGGTAGGTTTTTAAGGCAATTGGTTGCATTAAACACTCCCAACTTTGTAGAAACTAGTGTTAATTTTTCAACTGACCTTAAATAAAACAACCATGATTTCTGATTTATTTTACTGAATTTAAAAAAAAATAATTATTACAGCATAATACTGGAATCTCATTTGACACATGCAGAAGCTGTTAAACTTGTGCTTTGTAAGAATACTGTTTCATATGGTCCCTTTAAACTGTATCAGAATAAACAAGCTCTTACCATTCAAAATATATTGCACACACAGGTAAACAGCAGCCAAACATATCTACCACCTTCATCGGTAAATCCAACCCACTAGATGATTTATGGAGACATACCCCCAGGTCTGCTGAGCCTGAAAAGCAAACAAAACAGACAGGAGGCTGAATTCTCTGAAAACAGCTCTTCTAGTCTTACTGTAAACCTTTCTATTTATGTACTACTTTGGGTAATGCAAGCTAAAAATGAGCTATTTTCAATACCATCCAGACTACATTTCAAGCACTTGGGGAAAAAAAAAAAGCAGTGCAATATATTTTATGACTAGAATTGGTCAGGCTTTAGAAATGTACCAGGTGACTGCATATGAAATTAAAGGGAATTTTAAAATTTCACATATCTTAAAACAGCCTTTTTGCCTCTTAATCTGCTAAGAAAGGGTAAGTGCACAGGGAAAACTCCATCACAACCTAGACAGGATAAACTGCATGACTCACTAGCGACCTCTTCCAGTTCAAGTTATTTCAAAATGGAGAAATTAGAGTGATTTTATAGACATTATATTTATTAGTTAAAAATTACCAAATAAACACAGTGTTTTACAGCCATATAAACTGGCAGGCTCTAACCCTGCAGAAGACAGATCAAGTTGCGTATGTATTTTACTACTTTATTAAGTTTACTCACACTTCATGCTAATACAATGAACATGCTGAGGGAATACTATTCCAAGGTCATACTAATTTAGAATTTGAGCTACCCTCGGTCACTCAGCCAAAAAGTTCATGATTTCATTTACCGAAGTGACCCTGACAGTAAACTGGCACACGCACAGGCACGCTGCATTTCAGCACAGTTAGAAGAAATGAAGAGTACAAAGAACAGGCTAAAATAGCAACGCAGGTACTACACCTACTTCTCAGGATAACAGTGAAAAACTGTAGTTAGGAAAATTTAGCAATTTTGCTGGCATGAATCAAATCCATGAACAGTATAGACGTATGCCATCACTAAACAGCAACTTCATTCACTTACTATATTCTACCAGCTCCTATGCAAAATCTGTATCAGCTCTCTCCAACTTTATTAACTTATTTTTCACACATTCTCAAGCCTATTTCTTAATCCACTATTTACCAAGCAAAAGAGGGTAATCCTCAGCTTCAAGCCACGGTGTACAGATCTGGATATGCTTAAAGTGCAGTTTATTTATCAGTCCGTTGTAGTAGTCTTTTAGAGGTCCTTTACCTGTTTAAAACAAACAAACAAAAAAAAGAGTCTTTTTTTATCAAGATAACTGAAAATAGAGTGGTCTGTGCACCTTACTGTACAGCTGACAAATGCCTGCTGTATCAGCAGTATCAAAAAGCATCCCCCACACAAGCCCCAGAAAGACATGTAAAAGACTAAGTCCCTTGGAAAGCCATGTGAACCGGGACAACTTCTTTATTTAGAAGAGCCTGCCATCAATACTCCCCAGTCTTGACCTGCATTTTGTCTACAGCCACAAGATAACCCAATGCAAATTTCATCAGCACAATTGGCCCTTCAAAATCACACTAAGTTTTAGTTTACTCTTAATGAGGAATTTAACCAAACAGCACTCTCTCTGTCTACACAACTTTCTGGCAAAACCTTCTTTGATGAGTAGGTCCTCTTTTCCAGCACTAAATAAAAACCTTTCTGCTTAACGCTCCAAACACCAGAATTCAAGTTTCTTTCGCTGCACCGCCTCAATGTTGAGCTTAAATACTTTTCAACATGGAGTAATGCACAGCTGTACTAGACAGGCAGGCCAAGAGCTTCTCCTCTTTAAAGATGTGCCATAATTACACGGCTGTAACAGCCCAACTGTAAATCACTGCTCTTGTAACCAGACATAAAGACAATAGTCCCTCCTCTCTCATCACCACCAACAGAAGAGTCAGCATAGAACAAAAGTGAAAATGAAGTCTTCTGTATGACTACTGAAAGAATTCTAACGTGCATAACCTATTACCTGTTATCACACATACTAAAGACGGAAGCTTGACTCCTTCGTTGATATACCGCTCATAAGCTGGAGAAGATAAAAAACTGTTTAAAATATACGGATGCTTGGTTTAAGAGCAGTCATGGTGTACTCATCGTACAGGTTCCTACTTCAAGTTATTTCTTTACAAGCATACGCCTAGTAAAATAGTAGTAAATTTAGCAATGTTAAAATTGACAAACTTCTATAGAAATAAATTATGGTTGTTTAAAATGCACTATTCATGAAGCTACACCACATCAGCTGTTGCAATATATCAATTTAGCAGCTGCAAAGTCTACAAAATAAGACAACACATGTTCCTTTCTTTCCTATTATCAGAGGCCTATGGAGAGTATATGTAATAGCTTAGAAAATAAAATTGCAATTTACAAGCAAGTTAGAAATATAATTCTAACTGACAACTACTCTAATTGAATGAAGACGTTGCACTTCTGTATTTCAACTACTACCCTTAAACCACTGCTAATTAATCACATACACGTGCATTGTCACTGGAATATGGAAGCATTGTTCTTTAGCGAAACCCTTCAAAACCGTCCAGAATACAACCATTCCCCTTTGAACAGGTGAGATTAATTCCTTCATACCTACCTTCTAAAGCCTTTAAAAGGACTGAAAAGTCTTCATCCTCTGAAAGAGAAGGCTTTATTAGTGACATTCATATTTCTATCATTTATCATGAATTCTTATCTTTAAAGAACAACAATCAAAGTTTTCCTCACCTTCACCTACATGGTTTAAATATGGATCATGCTTTTCCTACTAAAAAATCTGCTTTTTAAATGAAAATAGTTACAGTCTATAACCACATAGAGTGCTTATTTGCTCTCCTTACCGGCAACATGGCAGCCAAACAAGCCACAAGTACTGCACATCCCCAAAGCTATCAAGTTAAAAAATGTCCAGTTTCTAAAGCCACAGAATTAAGTGTCGACATTGCCCTGTTAATTCAAAGGTACAGAAGGCAAAGACAATTCTGCCTATGGTTACTAGCAATGGATTTGTTTCTACTCTGTTCCCTTTTTCATACAGACAAAAAAAAAAAAGTGAGAAAATTACGTAATACACATTATCGGAAATAAAAGGAGTAAATATTTTAGTTTCTTAATCTATTTTTATGCAACTATGCAAGATAGTATGTACAGCATGAAAGTTAAGAAGCAGGAAATCCCTTTTAATCATTCTTGAAGCTGAGCCTCTAGACTGCAGCTCTATAATTAAAATACAACTTTAAAATTATTCCTTTTTAACCACTGAGGTGTTTCATATACAACTCCTCTTTAAATTCTTCCAGCCAAATGAAGGAGGAAAGTAACTTTGCCAGTGACGATGTAGCCCTTGTTTTACCTTTTGTTAAGCAGCAGTTGAATAATACAAATAATTTTATTAGTTTCCAAACCTGTCCAGCTTGTGCTGCTGATGAGAAGAGCTGGCCGTCCTCTGGTTTTTATCACGTGCCCATTTTTTTCATCCATTTCTGTAAAGGCAGACCTCTCAGCATTCGAACTGACAGACTCTGTACTATGGAAACAGTATTTTCTGAGTATGGACCACACAAACACAGAAGGAAATACTATGCTTAACTGGCATGAATTTCCAAACACTTTGTTTCAGATTTGCCGCTCAACTTCTCTAGAAACACAGTCATTACAGTACTGAGCCGCACAGAGATAACCTGATCAAAAGAGCCCACTTTTCATCTGTCTTATTGCTACCAAGAGCCTAGTGACACTACTGCTATAGGCACGATTCCATCTTCTAACACAGTGTTTTCCTTAAGAAGTTGAGAAAATAGCCTCTCTTTCCAGCTCTGTCTCAAACATATAGCAGAGCATGGAGGCAAACAGTACATGTATTCAATTAAACTCAGAACCTATAATTCTATGGTGGGCATTTCCAAAAATAAACTGCTATACACTATGGCTATCACTTCTTTTTCAAGCGTTAGTTTGATAAAGTAACACCCTGCCAAAGCTATCTACTGTAGGAGACATCCTGCACATAGCCAGAGAGCAACATTTCACACTTAGACCAACATCTTGAAAGCTCTCCACAGTAAGACGAAGGAAAGGATGTTATTAATGAAGCTTCCAATCACTGTCTTCTAGTTCCATCAGGAATTAGACAACTGCTGAGTTCCATCCTAGAGATACTCTATTACAGATTGCCTCAGTACTTATGCCAGCTTCTTTAAAAATAAAACACTTATATTATTTCACACACCAAGCATTGTGTTATCACAGTTCAATGATTTCACTCATTCTGGCCTCTTCTAGTGACCGTGAAGCTAACGTGCACAACATCAGCTGCTGGCTAAGAGCACACAGAGACCACTCTGCCTGCTGATGTTCAGTAACTTGTGACCCTATGCAGAAGTATTTCTGGTAATTAAGTGCAATAATTTCATGTCATTCAAGTAAGGACCGTAACTGCATGCTTTACTTACACATACCGTGGTTTAAAAGGCTCATAGTCTTTGGCAAGTTTCACGTACAAACGATGTTGAAGTTCTAATGGCGTTTCCTTAAAATAAGAGGCTGGCTTGTCATACAGTGTTACTGCTCTGTAATGAAATAAATTCAGAAGTTAAAAAACAGATGTAAGAAAATGTGTACGGCACAGTGACGGGCTAAAACAATGTAATGCAGAAAGTAACCAATAAGTAAACCAATACAGCAAAATAATTTTTTCACTCTTAACAACTTTCTGTATTCCTGAAGTTTGCTGGAATACCCCAAGGGGGACATATGAATGCTGTAACAAAGGACCCCTTTCTCGTGTGCGTATTCAAGGGGTATAACGCAACTGTAAACACTGCAGACATAATTGTCCTGATTTTTTAACTTACTTCATAACCGTTCCTCAGCAACTTTGATCTTAAAGCCCTCTGATTGCAAAAGAATCTGCAGAGCAGACTTCTTGTTAAAAATTGCTGTGATGTCATTCCAATTCTACAGACAGCCTGGCAGCAAACCTCCATAACACCAGGACTGCCACCTTTAGTCAATTGGGTGTTAATTACAAAGGGTAATGAAGGTTCTTGAACGCCCACACTCCACCAGCTCATTACAAAACTGAGCTAATGTGTTTGAGTGGTGATGGATGGGCTTCAGAAAGTTGCTTTTGTAAGATTCCCCCAAATCCACAATCATCAATGCTACGTTCTTGCATTTTATTTCACATACACACATACTAATTTGTTAGAGGTATGTAACTTACTTTATGTTGCAATTCACCCACAGATCTTCTTTCATTGCATTAGTGACACACAAGTTGTAGTCAGACAAACGCCCAAAAAGCTTTTCATACCTGACAAAAATTGAATCTTAGTTAGAAACCACAGGCAGGCAATCACATTAGCCAAACAACAATGGCCCACCAGTGCCCATGCTAATTAAAAGCCAAACAAAACCAAATTAAACCAAACTGCTCCTCGTAACTGAAATTTAATTATCAATTACTGATTGACTCCTTATACTGAAGCAGCATCACTGCATGAGAAGGGATACAGCATGACTCCCTTATCCTCCGAGACCATCACACTTGAAAGCCTTTAAAGCCTTTACCTACATGTAACCAATTAGATTCAGCAAGAAACAGACCTTTAAAGATAAGTTAGAGTGAAAAGCACCATTGGTGAATAAAAAAACCCCAGTACATATAAAGCCATTCTAATAACAAGATCAAAGTTTGCGCATGCACATAAAAGCAACCTGCCTACTTCATCAATCACCTTCCTATGTGTTTAACAAAGGCGTCTTACAGAATGTGCTTTCTGAAATAGAAAGCAGTTTAACACAGCAAAATCCAGAAATCCTCCATGGAAACAGCCCTTCACTAATTATATTCTCCCCACTGGTTTCCATTCTTCAGAATTCTGCAAAGGTATGTAATTTATAAAGAGGAAAAGGAATTACTGTACAAACCATTTTGCAATTTGTACTAGCGGGTGATTTCTTCCATGATTCAGACTCATTATAGTATATCCATAGTTGTGCCAATCAATTATCAATTTGCTTCTCCAGAAAAGACATGCTACCCAGGCAACAGCTATACCAGGTAAGCCTGGAGGATTCTGCTTAATAAAGAAAACAAATAAAAATAGCATAAGACTGTGATCAAGTGACAAACACTAAGCAACTACCAAAAAAGAAAATAAAACAATTGAAAAAAATACATTGCTTTAAAGGATCTTAACAAAGAGACAATTTTGTATCCACCAGCTACAGAACTGCCAGTCTCTCCTATGAAGACTGGCAGGCACTTCAAATTTTACCATTGGATCAGGATCATGCCTGCCCTCCTATAAACACACAAACATTTCTGTTAAGACTTATTCTTTACTACCAACCACGCCAATGAAGTTTGAAAGCTCTACAATTAACGGGAAGAACACACATGAGTTGATAACAGAAATAGCACAGTTTAGAGCCAAATAAACAGTTTGATAGAGGTTTACACCACTGATTAGGCCAGTTGTAGCTCTCAAATAATATGAACAATGTCTGAGACTGCTAAAATGCCCTGTCTTAAAGTACTATGTATTTTTACTAATACTAGCCCCAACACAAAACGTACCTGAAGGAGAATATAGGATGGCTGATCTATTGTCAGCATTGTGTACAGTAACTGTATCGCCTGCACAATGACTTTTACGACATACTGGACAAGCTTTGGACCAACTGCAAAACGACAGAAAAACCTGGTAATACTATTACAGCTCTCCAGAAACGCGCACTTCACACAGAACCAGCCGCCTCTCTAGAAAAAGCTTTTTTAACAGGTTGCCCAGAGAAGCTGTGGCTGCCCCATCCCTGGAGGTGTTCAAGGCCAGGTTGGACGGGGCTTGGAGCAACCTGGGCTGGTGGGAGGTGTCCCTGCCCAGGGCAGGGGGTGGGACTGGGTGATCTTCAAGGTCCCTTCCCACCCAAACCATTCTATGACTCTATGAAAACAATGGTACTCTGTAAAAAGGGAAACCTGTTTTTAGGCAAATACCTCGCAACCCCTACAAATTCCCGTTCTGTATTTTGCAATAGAAAGAAATCAGGGGAGGTATGGATAAACATACACACAAGGTTAAAAAAAAAAAAAATTAAAATTTAAAAAAAACCCTTGTGTTTCAGCCTGCGTGAGAACTGCATTAATGCGCTCCAGTACGGAGAGAAGCACTTAGAACAAGCACGGAGGCACCACGGAAGCGCAGCCTGAGCCAGCACACCCCTCCGGAGCAGCGAGGCCCGAACCCCCCCCTTCAGATTGTTTTATTTTTCCACATAAAATCCCCTTTCCCCCTATTTCCTCAGCTTCCACCCCCCTCCCTCCCCGCGGACGAGCACCCACCTCGCAGCCCCCGCAGCTCCGCCACGGGCACCAGGCGGATCTCCCGGCTCCGCAGCACGTCGCCGTGCGGCCTGCTCTCTGCCGGAAGGGAGAGAGGCCCGTCAGAGCACCGACCCCCGGCCCCGGCCCAGCCGGCGTCGCCCCAAC